CTCACTCGATATTTACATGGCTTAGACACTCACTCGATATTTACATGGCTTAGACTCCCACTCGATATTTACATTGCTTAGACTCTCACTCAATATTTACATGGCTTAGACACTCACTCGATATTCACATGGCTTAGACTCTCACTCGATATTTACATGGCCTAGATTCCCACTCGATATTTACATGGCTTAGACACTCACTCGAGATTCACATGGCTTAGACTCTCACTCGATATTCACATGGCTTAGACACTCACTCGATTTTTACACGGCTTAGACTCTCACTCGATATTCACATGGCTTAGACTCCCACTCGATATTTACATTGCTTAGACTCTCACTCGATATTTACATGGCTTAGACTCCCACTCGATATTTACATGGCTTAGACACTCACTCGATATCTACATGGCTTAGACACTCACTCGATATTTACATGGCTTAGACACTCACTCGATATTTACACGGCTTAGACACTCACTCCATATGTACATGGCTTAGATTCTCACTCGATATTTACATGGCCTAGAAACTCACTCGATATTTACCAGAATGCTTATATGCCTGGCTTTTTGTAGCGATTATTGACGTAAGGCACTACCACTAGATTACAAGGTACGCCTATCAATAACATAAACTAATTGTAAATGTTGTGGATTTACTCTCCAACACACCGGTGTGCTGAAGTAGTAAACTAATTGGCGCGTTGTTTGCGTGATAAACCTTACTAGCTGTGTTGGGTGGTAGAGGGTTACGACACAACATTTGTACTTACGCGATCTCACCCAAAAACCTTCATGATGAATGTATATATGTACGTTGACCTTCTTTCGCACCGTATGTATCGAACCGTGCTTAACAAAGGTGCGAAATCCTATACGATTGTACCCAATACCCCCTATGAGCCTATTAACAGGTTTGTGCGCATGTATATGTGTGCGTGTCTACATTCCCGCTCACGGCCAACACCAGTGATGATTATCTGAACCGGTCCAGGGCCTCCCCTAGGTTGACTCAGCCTGATATTAGTACCTGGCGCCGTGTGTAAACATCGCCACTGGGGAGACAAAGGCTGTCGGGCGTCTTGCTGGCCACCCACCCCCTTGTGTACCGTTCCGGCCTTCATAGGTGCTCGCTAACAACACTTGCTGTTACAGTGTGTTAAGGCTATATGGGGGATGTTTGTCTTTGTGTGTCTGCATAATAGCTGCGCGGACTCAACATTGTTAGCGGGCACAGTACATCGGAGCGGGATGTGTGGCGTGGCCGCACAATTACTGGAAGAGAGTGTGCCGGCTGAACCAGCAAGACGAATGTGTGCGACTCCTCCCCCCCCCCCCCCCCCCCCCCCCGCATCATCAGTGAACTGAATACTTCGCCCCTCGTGGGGCGAAAGGATGTTCATTGTCTTTTGATTCCCCCCGTCCAACCTCCTCCCCGCCCCCCACCTTCATCTCCGTGCGCTCGATAATAAATAAATGAATATCCATCTGGCTGTCGCCTGATGAAGCTGGTTGTAGTTGCAGGCGAAGCGTCGTACTCAGATTGTAAATGTTGTGTCTTGGCTCTCCAACACACCGGCGTGCTGTACTGGTGACGAATTGGCCACGTCCTGTTTACGTGACAACCCTTACTAGTTGGCTGTGTCGGGTGTTGGCGGGTTTTTACGCGATTAAAAACCAAACACCTCTATTATAAATCCACCGCGTGTTGAGACGCGATTAGCACGGACGGTAATGGCTACAAAGGAATATTGAAATATATGTTTAACATGCACAAACAATGCGAAAATCCGACAAAACAAGCCACGAGGAACAGAGGCGTCGTTTTAAACTAATATTTTATTTTTTAACAGGGAAGGCCCACTTAGCTATACAACATTTTTTTTCAGAAGCGACCTGGCCACAAATGATAGCTCAACGAAAGTGACATTTTACGTGGGCAATTATAACCAGACAAATACTCTAAACGCGTGACGTCGATTATTAATGTGGAGGGGAAAAACGGAGGACTCGGAGAAAAATCCACTCGACCACGGGGAAAACGTAAACCTCCGAATATACAGCAGGCGTCAGGGTCGGGATCGAACCCACGGCCTCCTGTATACCAGGCGAGGTAGTTAACATCTCGCCACCGTTTATAAGAAGGATGTAAACATTTCACGGACAGACATGGCATCGAACAAAGACGGCTACTACATCGTGCGCTTTCAGATGCGCTTCTGCGGCCGTCTGGACGGTTCTTCCCTGATATATTAGGAATCCGCTGAAAGCTATGCACTTTTAAACGTAGATGGGAAAACTCATTTCTTTCGAACCGCTTTTTGTGTTTAGTTTGTTGTCATTCCACCGCAGCTGCGATGAGCGTGCTTGGCTACGCACGGTACGACAGAAGTCCAACTTACGTACATGACAGCATATACTTTAGGTCTTTCGGTAAAGTCACGTACATAAGTTCAAAGAAAATAACAAAAAACGACGACGTTTCGGTCGCAACACAAGCGCTCGTCACCGCTTGTGTTGCGATAGAAACGTCGTAGTTTTTTGTTATTTTCTTTGAACTTATCTCCGTGACTTTACCGAAACACCCAAAAGAATATGAATGCATGCAGTCACGAAAGCTTGAAGTCAAGATTTGCACATGCCAGTCATAAATGCGTGACGGATAGCAGCAGGGTCCACAACAAGAACATTCGTGAGAATAATTAGAGAAAGGAAGGGTTGGATTTCTTGCACAGGCAGTGATTAAACAAGAGGCTGGATATGCGCGTTGTTTTGACTCCTGGGAAAGTTCTACATAGCACAAGAAGCACGGGAAGGGCAGCGAATTAATCACGTAAACGATTTGAACAAACGTATGCAACTGGGAGTATCGAATACAAAAATAGTTTAGTAAATATCATGGACAGAGCTAAATGGAAGGAAAAAGATGGCGCGTAGAGAGATGTGTTGTTAAATAACGTGTCATTGTAGTAACTGTATTAATAAATAATTGTTAATAATTGTAAACCGGTCGCGATCTTGAAATCGCGACAATTAATGGAATAGTATAGAGACTTACACTGCCGTTAGACGTATAGCTATGTTTAGGAATGGAATTTTATTCTGCATTACTTAGAAAGGTGCACACCGTGAAAGCCTCTAATGACTAAATCATTTATATTAAATTTTGACTTAAAGCTTTTGTGACTGGAGGAATTCATATTCCTTGCGTGTTTCGGTAAAGCCACGTAGATATGTTCAAAGAAAATAACACATTTTGATTCAAAGCTTTCGTGACTACAGGGATTCATATTCTTGGTTCTTTCGGTAAAGTCACGTAGAAGGGAAACAATAAAATAATAAAAATGTAAAACAATTAAATTCTCACGACGTTTCGACTGCAACACAAGCACTCATCATCAGAAAAAAATTATTGCTGTGGTTTTCACACCTGATGATGATTGCTTGTGTTGCAGTCGAAAGGTCGTGAGAATTCTATTGTTAAAAAAAAAACGTCGTGAGAATTTTATTTTATTATGCTTTATTTTTATTATTTTATTTCCATTCTACGTGACTTTACCGAAAGAACCAAGAATAGAAAATAACGAAGTTTAATAAAATGATGAATATATTTTTTATTTATAAACTGTCAGGTAGTATACCCGTGTAGGCTCTATATAAGAACTATACACGCGTTATAAATGTTCTTATACACTGTTGCTGAAAACAAATGTCACGGTGGTTGTTGAAGGGGTCCCCAAACTCGAGTGGCACTGCTGGTAACCACACTTCACCACACTCGAGTGGCGCTGCTGGTAACCACACTTCACCACATTCGAGTGGCGTTGCTGGTAACCACACTTCACCACACTCGAGTGGCGTTGCTGGTAACCACACTTCACCACACTCGAGTGGCGCTGCTGGTAACCACACTTCACCACACTCGAGTGGCGCTGCTGGTAACCACACTTCACCACACTCGAGTGGCGCTGCTAGTAACCACACTTCACCACACTCGAGTGGCGCTGCTGGTAACCACACTTCACCACACTCGAGTGGCGCTGCTGGTAACCACACTTCACCACACTCGAGTGGCGCTGCTGGTAACCACACTTCACCACACTCGAGTGGCGCTGCTGGTAACCACACTTCACCACACTCGAGTGGCGCTGCTAGTAACCACACTTCACCACACTCGAGTGGCGCTGCTGGTAACCACACTTCACCACACTCGAGTGGCGCTGCTGGTAACCACACTTCACCACACTCGAGTGGCGCTCCTGGTAACCACACTTCACCACACTCGAGTGGCGCTGCTGGTAACCACACTTCACCACACTCGGGTGGCGCTGCTGGTAACCACACTTCACCACACTCGAGTGGCGCTGCTGGTAACCACACTTCACCACACTCGAGTGGCGCTGCTGGTAACCACACTTCACCACACTCGAGTGGCGCTGCTGGTAACCACACTTCACCACACTCGAGTGGCGCTGCTGGTAACCACACTTCACCACACTCGAATGGCGCTGCTGGTAACCACACTTCACCACACTCGAGTGGCACTGCTGGTAACCACACTTCACCACACTCGAGTGGCGCTGCTGGTAACCACACTTCACCACACTCGAGTGGCACTGCTGGTAACCACACTTCACCACACTCGGGTGGCGCTGCTGGTAACCACACTTCACCACACTCGAGTGGCGCTGCTGGTAACCACACTTCACCACACTCGAGTGGCGCTGCTGGTAACCACACTTCACCACACTCGAGTGGCGCTGCTGGTAACCCCACTTCACCACACTCGAGTGGCGCTGCTGGTAACCACACTTCACCACACTCGAGTGGCGCTGCTGGTAACCACACTTCACCACACTCGAGTGGCGCTGCTGGTAACCACACTTCACCACACTCGAGTGGCGCTGCTAGTCTGAACCGCAACGCGTAACCGAGCGAGCAAAATAAAACCGCCGCTGATCCACGTCGCTGGCGCCCTCCGCCACTCTCTCGCCCAAGGAGCTCGCCGTCGCCGAATCCGGCGATCAGAGTCGGCGCGAAGTGGGGGGCCCGGCTGAGCCCCCGTCCCCGTCGCCCCCGTCACCGACCCCTCACCGGACCCCAGAGAGACACTCGTGCGCGCGCTGCGGGGCCCTCATCCGGGACAAGATCATCCTCAAGGTGAGAGCGAGCGAGGGAGGGAGAGGTCACGGGGCAGCGATGGTGGCGATAGTGGACACCGCTATCGCTGTCAAAGGTCCCCTGCCCAGCCACCCCCGGTCAAAGTCGGCGAGTGATCGAGATATGCCCCCCCCCACCCACCTCTCCATCAATCGTAAGCGGCATAGCGCAACTTGAATTTATTTCGTGGCCCGTTAGGTCGGTTAGCCGGCCGCGACTCGTGTGGAAAGCATCTCCCTGCCCGAGGGTCACCGTCGCGATGCGGGTGAGCGGACGTGACCGGCTGACGAGCGGCGATGGAGAGCGGCTGACACCTGTGCACTGGGTTTGACCCGAAGGGTATCCGAGGGCATTATCCAAGCGACAATTCACTATTAGACATTATTGTAAAGAAAAAAAAATAAGTCCATCCTATGTGTTAGTGAAATTTGTTTTTATTTTAGGCAATAAATTATTTCCAAATTTAGATTTTTTTCTGGGGGAGGGACCCCCAGACCCCCTGGAAGATTTGGTCCCCCCCCCCCCAATGTTGACTCCATAACTACGGCCTTGCTGTAACGTGATAACAAATATAATGTTGATAGCTTCAAAAAGTCAGAAAGCCTCCACTTGTTCGTCATCGTTGTCAACGCGTGCCTGGAATCTTCTCCAGGTGATCTCCAGAGCCCCGGAGGCAGCAGCACATGTCACGTGGTATTGTTGCAAACTCTCAGCAGTGTTAACATTGTATTTGAAACACCCTGCTCATATGTGTGTGTGTATATATACTGTGCGTATGAACATACATTTGCAAGAGTCACTTCGGTCGCCAAAAGGATAACGAGCAGAGTACAGAGGATCAGCACAAACACAAATCAACTTTTAAGTCAAAGTTAAATTTCCTGCAGTGGCAAATCGGCTCAGGCAGATTACCTCCAGATGGGCCACAGCACCAGTTTACAAAACTCAGCCGTGGAATCATGAAACAAATACACGTGGACTATAACACGAAAAACAATGACAGAGAGACCCCGTGATATGGCCCAGCGTTATCACGTTTGCCACTTCTTGCAGAGGTTCGTGATTGGTATCCAGCAGCCCGCCCTGGTCAACAGTGTGGCGCACGTATTGACCTAAAACGCACGCGTCGCTAAAGATTCCGTTACGTCGGGCTCAGGTGAAAAAAAAAAGAATGCGTGGGAGGATCGGCTGAGGCGGTCGCAGACTCCTGGATTCGATTTTCTGCTCGCTTAAAGAATGTCGGCAACACGCTCGACCAGAATGTGTCGTTTGATCAGCCCGTGCAAAAAAAAAATGCAGTCAGGTCCCTGCGATTTCAATATCAGGCCTCTACGACGCTTTCGACCACTTATTGAGTCGTGACATGGCCAACACGCTGGCGTGCAGCACAGGATCGACAAACCTCGATTCTGACAACCCCGCTTACTCTACGGGACGAACGCCAACAGCAACAACGAAAGCATCGCCAGGCTGTAGCGTGTGCAACGGTTTTTTTTTTTTTTCCGGCAACCTTCAACGCGGTGGGCAACGTCGGCCAGACCCGGCCACGCCACTCCACTCGACAAACGCGACGCAGTCTGTCAAGGCTATCCGGGCGTGGGCGTGGTGGTGGTGGTGTTGGGCAACTTTGTCCGCGCCTTGCAGGTGGGCTCCGACTGCTGGCACGGGCGCTGCCTGGAGTGCTCCGTGTGCCAGGCGCCCCTCGGAGGCCTGGACAGCTGCTACATCCGTGATAAGGCCGCGTACTGCAAGCCGGACTACTACAGGTGCGTGTGACCAGCCTTGGTGCGCCGCGAGCATGCCCGTGTCAAGCCCCATGCGGTTATAGCTCGAATTCTTGCAAGGAGGGAAATTGAGTTTTTCACTTCGGGCTAAGTTGTGTTCTCCATCTGTTTGTGTTTCTCCCTTGCGATGGGACTTTGTGGGATGAACGTTGAGATTTATAAGGGGCACGGGGTGATCAATACGGTCTGAATTGGTCTGTAATCATAAGGCAGGGCACCGATAAGGTGTTGACGGGTAAGTAGTAGTGTATAGTGTATCGTAGTGTATAGTGCAGTGTATAGTAGTGTATAGTGTAGTGTATAGTAGTGTATAGTGTAGTGTATAGTCTTGTAGTGTAAAGTAGTGTAGTGTATGATGTTTTGTATAGTGGAGCGTATAGTTTAGTGTACAGTGTAGTTCATATGATGAGCGTTGAGATTTATAACGGCACGGGGTGACCATTAAGGTCTGAATTGGTCTGTAATCATAAGGCAGGGCACCGAAAAGGGGTTGACGGGTGCGCGTGAGGTTATCGCGCGCAATGCGGGAGGCTCGCTGCTGGCGGGGAGTTTGTGGGACAGAGAGACGCAGGGTGGCGATGGGTTGCGCTGCCTGAGATGACTGCAGGGAGCGCAGACCCTGCGCTCCGCACTGCACCAACTCGCTGCGTTTTAGTCGCCCTTACAGACTGTTGGGGCAAGTGCTGGCAGCGAGCACCTCTGAAGGCCGACTCGACACAAAGATAAATACTCCCCGTGTAGCCCTTACAGACTGTTGGGGCAAGTGCTGGCAGCGAGCACCTCTGAAGGCCGACTCGACACAAAGATAAATACTCCCCGTGTGGCCCTTACAGACTGTTGGGGCAAGTGCTGGCAGCGAGCACCTCTGAAGGCCGACTCGACACAAAGATAAATACTCCCCGTGTGGCCCTAACAGACTGTTGGGGCAAGTGCTGGCAGCGAGCACCTCTGAAGGCCGACTCGACACAAAGATAAATACTCCCCGTGTAGCCCTAACAGACTGTTGGGGCAAGTGCTGGCAGCGAGCACCTCTGAAGGCCGACTCGACACAAAGATAAATACTCCCCGTGTAGCCCTAACAGACTGTTGGGGCAAGTGCTGGCAGCGAGCACCTCTGAAGGCCGACTCGACACAAAGATAAATACTCCCCGTGTAGCCCTTACAGACTGTTGGGGCAAGTGCTGTTCGCGAGCACCTCTGAAGGCCGACTCGACACAAAGATAAATACTCCCCGTGTAGCCCTAACAGACTGTTGGGGCAAGTGCTGGCAGCGAGCACCTCTGAAGGCCGACTCGACACAAAGATAAATACTCCCCGTGTAGCCCTAACAGACTGTTGGGGCAAGTGCTGGCAGCGAGCACCTCTGAAGGCCGACTCGACACAAAGATAAATACTCCCCGTGTAGCCCTAACAGACTGTTGGGGCAAGTGCTGGCAGCGAGCACCTCTGAAGGCCGACTCGACACAAAGATAAATACTCCCCGTGTAGCCCTTACAGACTGTTGGGGCAAGTGCTGGCAGCGAGCACCTCTGAAGGCCGACTCGACACAAAGATAAATACTCCCCGTGTGGCCCTTACAGACTGTTGGGGCAAGTGCTGTTCGCGAGCACCTCTGAAGGCCGACTCGACACAAAGATAAATCATCCCCGTGTAGCCCTAACAGACTGTTGGGGCAAGTGCTGGCAGCGAGCACCTCTGAAGGCCGACTCGACACAAAGATAAATAATCCCCGTGTAGCCCTAACAGACTGTTGGGGCAAGTGCTGTTCGCGAGCACCTCTGAAGGCCGGCCCGTTTCCCCGGTCTCTTTAATATTAAACAAAATTTGGCCAATTAAAAAAAAACATTAAAATGCATTTAGTTCCACCAGCCAGCAAAGGGTTGGATGTGGCGAAGCAAAGAACTCAACACGATCGTCAATTACACTACGTGTTTAAAAGGAAACATGACAGACAACGTTTCAGGAAATGGCCCTTCTTCAAAGCACATTCATAGAGCAACCAGAGAGACAGAGTGGATAATGATAATTGACGACTGCACTTTACACTGTGGGGCTGGATGCAATTAAATATGATTTATGTCTCCTGGTGAACAGATTTAAATTGGCATATGAATAATTACCTAATAGAAACTCCTGAGTACCAGATAAACTCTTTGAAGAAAAGTATTACTACTTAATGAACTAACTTATATTAAAAGTTTAATTCAAAATTGTTGCTGGCAAATTGCATTATGGGTAGAACTGTCGTCGCAAAGTTTGAATGCATAATCGACTAAAGATATCTATTTCTAGACCTAATTCACATTTTACAAAGGATCAGAAAAGCTCTGTGATCTCCTTTGGTTCTTTCGGTAAAGTCTCGTAGAATGAGAATAAAATCACACGATAAAATTCTCACGACATTTCGGCCACAACGCAACCGGTATCCTTGCGTTGTGGCCGAAACGTCGTGAGAATTTTATCGTGTTATTTTATTCTCATTCTACGTGACTTTACCGAAAGAACCAAAGAAGATGAATCCTTGCAGTCACGAAAGCTTTAAATCGATATGTAAGCTCTGTGATTCCAATGGAATTTTAGGAATCAAGGGAACTGATTTAAACTTGCACCAACTATTCCAACTCGAACAATGGTGCAAGTGTACAATGGTGCGGGAGATGGAATCGAACCGGTATCCTGCGGACGGCAAGTCTAGTGCGCTGACAATTACACCCCTCCCATACAATTTTGCGATTTGTACTTTAATAAAACTATTAAACTTTTTTTAAAATTTACCAGGTAAGGCCCACTGAGCTATGTAGCTCTTATTCAGAATCGCACCGAGCCAAATGTGATAGCCCAACGAAGTGGCTTATCACATGGAAATTTAGAGCAGCCAAATGCTGTACATACAAGTTTATTTTAAAATGTGGAGGGCAAACCAGAGGACCAGGAGAAAACATTCACGCGAGCACGGAGAGAGAGAGAGAGAGACACGCAAACTCCAAATATACAGCAGGCGTCAGGGTCGGGATCGAACCCACGACCTCCTGCACACCAGGCGAGGTAGTTAATTTTCCCTAGCCACCGTGATGATGATGAGAGACACGCAAACTCCAAATATATAGTAGGCGTCAGGGTCGGGATCGAACCCACGACCTCCTGCACATCAGGCGAGGTAGTTAACATATCCTAGCCACCGTGATGATGATGATGAGAGAGAGACGCAAACTCCAAATATACAACAGGCGTCAGGATCGGGATCGAACCCACGACCTCCTGAACACAAGGCGAGGTAGTTAACATCTCGCCACCGTGGCGCTCCATTTATTGATGGTGACTTGCTTACCTCTCCTATACTTTTTTTGCATTGTTGTTGTAACTTGCTGACCCCGTGGCCAATGTTGGACATCTATGGTGAGAAAAAAAGAGCGTTATAGCTCATGGGATCCCTGCTCCTCCTCCTCCTCCTGCTGCTGCTGCAGTCTAAATCAAGATTCTGATTCTGTGCGGTCCCCACTCGGAGGGACAGCAGCAGTACAGAGCCAAAAGTAAGGGGCACAGCGACCCTGGGGGATTTATTTTTTGACCCGCGGAGTTCCTGTTACCACTCCTCTCCCTACGTCAGTGTCGGGCTTCTGTTTAAAAAAAAAACAGCTGAAAATACTAAAGATAGACAAGAAAATATTCTGTCCATGATAGAGGTTTTTTGGCTTAGATCGCGTGAGTATCAATGTGTTGTTAACACCTCGGGGTGGCGGGATTAACGACACATTTACATCCCCGCGATACAACCCCAAAAAAATCTCTATTCATACTCTTTGGTTCTATTCGGTAAAGTCACGTAGGTAAAAAATAAAACAACACAAATCACGACGTTTCGGCCACAACACAAGCGGCCTTCATCAGGTGAAGGGATCAGGCTGTCTCGAGGACAGCGCTGGAGTGGAGCACAGCCACGTTCAGACCGCGACCTTTAAGCTGTGTGCGAGGAAACAAGGTGCCTTGACAAAGGAATTAGCATAAAAATGAGCATTTGATTGGCCGACTATTGTTATGGATAATATTGGTCACGTAGGTATAAAATAAAATAAATCACGACGTTTCGGTCACAACACAAGCGTCCGTCATCAGGTGCTGCGACCTAAACGTCGGGATTTATTTGATTTAATACCTAAGTGACTTTACCGAAAGAACCAAAGAGTATGGATTTCTGCAGTCACGAAAGCTTCAAATCAATATTAATATTGGTCGCGAAAGTCGACTGCAAACCTGTCAGTGGCCTACCTTATAACAGACCAATTCAGACCTTATTGGTCACCCCGTGCCCCTTATAAATCTCAACGTTCATCACAAGGGAGAAAACACAACCAAACAGACAATTCGTTGTTTTGCCCGTCTTGAAACGGCTGTCACGCCGTGCGGACCTGACAGCTACAATCTCCCTGTACAATAACACTGCGCAAACCGTATGGGTTGACAGCGATGGCCACTTGCGTGTTTACAAAAACAGATTCTGATTCCCATCATTCCCTCGTGCCCGTGGCGTGCTCCCCCCCACCCCCCCCCCCCTCCCACCACCCCACCACCGCCGTCTTCCCTCCCCACCCCACGGCCACACCACCGATGCAGGAGGTTCGGCGCGGCGTGCGCTCGCTGCGAGCGGCGCCTGGAGGCGAGCGACTGGGTGCGGCGCGCGCGCGGCCGCCTCTACCACCTGGCGTGCTTCGCGTGCGGCGCCTGCGGCAGGCAGCTCGCCACGGGCGAGGAGTTCGGGGTGCTTCGCGAGCGGCTTCTGTGCCGCTCGCACTACCAGGCGGCGCTGGAGCGCCTGGCCGGCGGCGCCGTGCACGTAGGTGAGTGGGTTGGAGTGGGGGCCGGGGATCGTCTTGACGTAGGGGGGGGGGGGGGGTGGTAGAGCTCCGTAGCTCGAAGGATTTCCTGGCGGTATGGATAGATGTTGTTGTTAATGGGGTCCTGGGATGAAACGGCCCCATCGTCGTTCGAGACGTTCCTCCTAGTCGACAACCCGGCGTTACCATCAACTCGTTCGCACACCCACTCGCTCGCCACTGGTGTAACTCTCAACTCATTCACTTAGCTGCTTGCTCACCCACCCACTCACCCACCACTGGTGGAACCATCAACTCATTCACTTAGCTACTTGCTCATCCACTCACTCACCCACCACTGGTGGAACCATCAACTCATTCACTTAGCTGCTTGCTCACCCACCCACCACTGGTGGAACCATCAACTCATTCACTTAGCTACTTGCTCACCCACCCACCACTGGTGGTACCATCAACTCATTCACTTAGCTACTCGCTCACTCACCCAGCCACTCCCTCGCTCCCCACTTGTGTAGCCATCAACCGCATCAGAACATCAACAGGGCGATGGGCACGTCTCCTTCCTGAATGTAAAATGAAAGACACGTGCCACAGTAGTTCGACTGTCGCCATGTAACCCAAACTGTGGACCATATCGTAAATCCATAGACACACTTAGAGATACATGGAGACGCAGAGATCCATCAAGACCTATAGCGAAACACATAGACACGTAGAGACATATATATACATAAATACCCATGGGGATACCTGGAGATACGGTGCAATTGTGGCCATGGAACTCACATTGTGAGCAATATAGCGAATCACTTTATAGCCTGCGCTCCTTTGACGGAGGAGGAATAGCACAACTGCACACACCCTCTCACCGAAACCCTCTCCTTATCAGTGCCGGATGATCCTAGTAGCACAAGTAGCTACATAATGCTACGGGTCCCGCACTTTCAAGGGCCCCGCGCTAAATGCTTTCAAGCTATTAATTCCGGTTCAGTGATTCTGCACTTGTTCTATTACTATAGTACTATACCGCCTTCAACTTTTATGAACGACTGGGTGTTTAAGGTTAGCGATTCGTCATATTATCTGGCTGTATAGAAAATGAAAAAATACAATTACTTTACTATGTAAGTGAAAAAATGTGTGTTTTCTTTTAATTGAGGGCCCCTTTATAACATATGCTACAGGCCCCGCACTCGCTTAATCCGGCACTGCTCCTTATGACCAGAAGCAAGACTTCAACAATGGCATTTATCTCCTGAATTACGGTGATGCCGCTGCTGCCATCACACGCACGAGGAGTGTGTGGATCGCTCGCGCGCAATGGAGCTGAATGGAGTTCAAAACTCCAAACACCTGGTTGTAAAAGACCCAACGCAAAAGATCTCTGGGGTTTGATCTTCCACGAAGCTAATGGTCCAACCCTAACACGTATCCGCTACACAAACCATGGCAGACGCGGATACCCGAGGCACAAATGGAAATTTTTAAACAACCCTCCAGAATTTAATTGTTTTATATTTTTATTATTTTATTGTTTCCCTTCTACGTGACTACACCAAAATAACCAAGAATATAACTCTCCAGCAGTGTGTGACTGTGGTCATCCAGAACGTATAACGATGCAATGCCCCCGATCCACAAATATGAAGAAGACATCATCCCAGCGATGACGCACTCCTACTACTCCTGACACGGTTGTCTGGCTTGACCCACCTGAATGTGAAATTGTAGTTGTAGCTCTGCATCTGCATCATCAGCCATACAACGACGAGAAGATGATCCCACGCAGTACATCCAACACCTCGCGCGCGGTAAACACGGCACCGTCATTCAGCGGCGAGGATCCAAAGGGGGTCGTGGGGGGGGGGATTGATAGGGGTCACCACCCCTCCCCAACTCCTTGAGACCCCACAGTCAGGGCTGCTCGAATCAGACGCTGTAGGCAAGGAGCCTCTCTCACGACACGATCACCAACAGCGTCGTCTGCCGCTGTGGTGTGCCGCTGCGGTGTGCCGCTGCGGTGACTGCCCCCCCCCCCCTCCCCTCACCTAGGGGGCTCTCTTTCGGAGGGGGGCCCCCCGAGCGACGGAGAGGCGCCCCCCAGCAAGCCGGCCAAGCGAGCCCGCACCAGCTTCACGGCCGAGCAGCTGCAGGTACAGGCGGCCCCCTCCTACGCGTCGTCACATTGAAGGGGCGCACAGGGGTCTGTAATATTTATATATTTATTTATATTTGGGGGGGGGGAGGGGGGGGTCCTCTTTGTTCTTTCAATTTGCTTCCCTCCGCTGTTTTATTCCACCAGCGGTGCCCGATGCCAAACTCCCCATGGCTATTCGCCTCGGCGAGGTTCAGTTGCGGCACGAACCCGGTGCGTTGACCCCACGTTGACCCCGCGTGCCGCACGTTGACCCCACGTTGACCCCACGTTGACCCCACGCGTGCTACCACCCCCCCCCCCAAGGTGATGCAGGCCCAGTTCGCGCAGGACAACAACCCTGACGCGCAGACGCTGCAGAAGCTCGCGGACATGACAGGTCTCAGTCGGAGGGTGATCCAGGCGAGCCTCTCTCACTCCGCACGCACTCACCCTCACACTCACCCTCACACTCACCCTCACACTCACCCTCACACTCACCCTCGCACTCACCCTCACCCTCACACTCACCCTCACACTCACCCTCACACTCACCCTCACCCTCACACTCACCCTCACACTCACCCTCACCCTCGCACTCACACTCACCCTCACACTCACCCTCACAATCACCCTCACAATCACCCTCACACTCACCCTCACAATCACCCTCACACTCACCCTCACACTCACCCTCACACTCACCCTCACCCTCACCCTCGCACTCACCCTCACACTCACCCTCGCGCTCACCCTCGCACTCACCCTCACACTCACCCTCACACTCACACTCACCCTCACACTCACCCTCACACTCACCCTCACACTCACCCTCACACTCACCCTCGCACTCACCCTCACACTCACCCTCGCACTCGCGCTCACCCTCGCGCTCACCCTCACACTCACCTTCACACTCACCCTCACACTCACCCTCACACTCACCCTCACCCTCACACTCACCCTCGCACTCACCCTCGCACTCACCCTCGCACTCACCCTCGCACTCACCCTCGCACTCACCCTCACACTCACCCTCACACTCACCCTCACACTCACCCTCGCACTCACCCTCGCACTCACACTCACCCTCACCCTCACACTCACCCTCACACTCACCCTCGCACTCACCCTCGCGCTCACTCTCGCACTCACCCTCACACTCACCCTCACACTCACCCTCGCACTCACCCTCACACTCACCCTCGCACTCACACTCACCCTCACTCTCGCACTCACCCTGGCACTCACCCTCGCACTCACCCTCACACTCACCCTCACACTCACCCTCACACTCACCTTCACACTCACACTCACCCTCACACTCACCCTCGCACTCACCCTCACACTCACCCTCACACTCACCCTCGCACTCGCGCTCACCCTCACAATCACCCTCACACTCACCTTCACACTCACCCTCGCACTCACCCTCGCGCTCACCCTCACACTCACCCTCGCACTCACCCTCGCGCTCACCCTCGCACTCACCCTCACACTCACCCTCACCCTCACACTCATCCTCACACTCACCTTCACACTCACCCTCACACTCACCATCACCCTCACCCTCACACTCACCCTCACACTCACCCTCACACTCACCATCACCCTCACCCTCACCATCACCCTCACCCTCACACTCACCCTCGCACTCACCCTCGCGCTCACTCTCGCACTCACCCTGGCACTCACCCTCGCACTCACCCTCACACTCACCCTCACACTCACCCTCACACTCACCCTCGCACTCGCGCTCACCCTCACACTCACCTTCACACTCACCCTCGCACTCACCCTCGCGCTCACCCTCACACTCACCCTCGCACTCACCCTCGCGCTCACCCTCGCACTCACCCTCACACTCACCCTCACCCTCACACTCACCCTCACACTCATCCTCACACTCACCCTCACACTCACCCTCATCCTCACACTCACCCTCGCGCTCACCCTCGCACTCACCCTCACACTCACCCTCGCACTCACCCTCACACTCACCATCACCCTCACACTCACCCTCACCCTCGCGCTCACCCTCACACTCACCCTCGCACTCACCCTCACACTCACCCTCACACTCATCCTCACACTCACCCTCACACTCACCCTCACCCTCACACTCACCCTCGCACTCACCCTCACACTCACCCTCACACTCACCCTCACACTCACCCTCACACTCACCCTCACACTCACCCTCACACTCACCCTCACACTCGCACTCACCCTCGCACTCACACTCACCCTCACACTCACCCTCACCCTCACACTCACCCTCACACTCACACTCGCACTCACCCTCACACTCACCCTCACACTCACCCTCACACTCACCCTCACACTCACCCTCACACTCACCCTCACACTCACACTCACCCTCACACTCACACTCACCCTCACACTCACCCTCACACTCACCCTCACACTCACCCTCACCCTCGCGCGTCGCCGCTCCCGCCCTGCCCGTCCGTCCCGTTCGAGCGTCGGCTCTGCAGAGGCGGAGCGACACGCCCGGCTTGGGGGGCCCCCTACCCATCGTGCAGATCATTGCCCCCCCACCATGCCCCCCCCCCCCACAATGCTGGAAATGTATAGCAGCTGCTAAATTCTCTAAACGCGTTGACGTTCATTCTACATATGGAGGGAAGAACCGGAGGACCCGGAGAAAAGTCCACGCGACCACGGGGAGAGAGAGACACCGCAAACCCCAAATACACAGACGTCGTCAGGGTCGGGATCGAATCCACGACCCCCTGCGTAACAGTCGAGAGAGTCAACATCTCCGCGCCTCCACAGCCGCGAGACCATTACACGTGACCCGTCCCTTTGCTCTCAGCCCTGTCACCAAAAACTGCGCGACAAAAACCCACCAGGACCCCCCCCCCCCCCGGCGTGAGCGCTGTCACCTCGCCCCCCTCCCCACCGACGCTCGCTGACGCCACCGTGCCCCCCCCCCACCCCCCAGGTGTGGTTCCAGAACTGCCGCGCGCGCCACAAGAAGCACATCTCGCCGGGCCTCGGCATGCCCCCGGGGCACCTCGCGCTCTCCGCTCCCGAGGAGGCGGCCTACACGCCCTACCTGAGCGCCGAGGGCACCATCCTGGCCACCTACCTGCAAGGTGATGCCCACAGTCGATCGCCGTCGTCACCGTCGTCGTCAATCCACTGCTGGATGAAGGCCGCCTTCCCCACCAAACTTTTTTGCGGCCGCCTCTCGCGGACTCGCGAGGCGGCGATCCATCCGGCACCACCCGCACACGGGACTCGTTTCATCGCTCCATCTCCTCGGTGGGCGTTCGCTCGAGAGCGCTCCACCTGTACGTACGCACGTACGTTGAACTTCCCTCCGCACCGTACGTAGCCAACCACTTGGCTGACAATCTGTTCTTGGTTTTCGCCATAGTCCATCGTCCCCTTGTCCCACCCGAGGCGACGGTGCGCATCAGGTTGGGTGGCACCGCTAACCCGCATGTATTCCTTCTCTAACCCGTGCCTTCTCTAACCCATGCCTTCTCTAACCCATGCCTTCTCTAACCCGTGCCTTCTCTAACCCGTGCCTTCTCTAACCTACGCCTTCTCTAACCCATGCCTTCTCTGACCCATGCCTTCTCTAACCCATGCCTTCTCTAACCCATGCCTTCTCTAACCCGTGCCTTCTCTAACCCATGCCTTCTCTAACCCATGCCTTCTCTAACCCGTGCCTTCTCTAACCCACGCCTTCTCTAACTCATGCCTTCTCTAACCCATGCCTTCTCTAACCCATGCCTTCTCTAACCCATGCCTTCTCTAACCCGTGCCTTCTCTAACCCGTGCCTTCTCTAACCCATGCCTTCTCTAACCCATGCCTTCTCTAACCCGTGCCTTCTCTATCCCATGCCTTCTCTAACCCATGCCTTCTCTAACCCATGCCTTCTCTAACCCGTGCCTTCTCTATCTCATGCCTTCTCTAACCCATGCCTTCTCTAACCCGTGCCTTCTCTATCCCATGCCTTCTCTAACCCATGCCTTCTCTAACCCGTGCCTTCTCTAACCCATTCCTTCTCTAACCCATGCCTTCTCTAACCCATGCCTTCTCTAACCCATGCCTTCTCTAACCCATGCCTTCTCTATCCCATGCCTTGTCTAACCCATGCCTTCTCTAACCCATACCTTCTCTATCCCATGCCTTCTCTATCCCGTGCGTTTCCCCTTTTTCCCGTCTCTCAACGTAACTCCAAGCGTGCGTCTCTCCCACGCTTTATTTTTACTGTTGCCGCTGCACGATTTTCAGCCTTTGCTCCGATGTCTTGGTCGGTAGAGACGTCGTCCAAACTGGTAAGCAAAGTAAGTGGGCTTGGTGCAGCGACGCGTCGCTAGAATGGATGGTGGCCGCTACGTACAGGGATGGAATAATACTCCAGAGGTATAAGTTTAACTGCAGTGTAAGTCTCTATATGATTCTATTGTCGCGATTTCAAGGTCGCCACCAGTTTCAATGATCAATTATTTTATGAATACATTTACAGCAATGCCACATTATTTTACAACGTATCTCTCTACGCGTGATTTCTTTCCTTGCAGTTAGCTCTGTCCATGATATTTACTCAACTGCTTTTGTATTCGATACTCCCATAATTATTTAAATGATTACGTCACTTAAATCACTGCATTTCCTGGCTTCTTGTGCTAGGCAGAACTTCCCCAGTAGACAAAACAACATTCATATCCAGTCTCTTGTATTCCCACTACCTGTGCAAGAAATCCAACCCTTCCTTTCTCTAATGATTCTCATGAATGTTCTTGGTGTGTACCCTGCTGCTATCCATCACTCATTAATAGCTGTCGTGCATGTACCTGTGTTGGACTTCTTTTGCACCATACATAGCCAACCGCACTAATCGGGAGGTGCGGGGGAATGCGCCTGAGATGTTGTCCATTGTGGAGACAGAGCGATAAAAAATGTTCTTGGTTGAGCGCGGGCGCTATAGATGCATCGTCACATTTGAAGATTCCGTAGGCGCGGTGATGGCCTAGGCAGGGCTTTCCATCGACGAGGAGCGCCCCCCCCCCTACCACGTGAGCTGTCACGTCACAAAAAAACGATCGCCCCCCCCCCCCACGTGAGCTGTCACGTCACAAAAAAACCGATCGCCCCCCCCCCCCCCCCGTCTCGTTGCAGGCACCAGCACGGCCACACTGCAAGCGCAGACTCACCTCTTCATCACCAGCCCTCACCACGCGCCCCACCACTAAACAAGAGGGTCGCTCTGCGCGAGCGAGCGAGGAGGAGGGGCACCCGAGGGATTGGCTCGAGGCCCGACTGTTTGCGTGGCTTCCTCCCGGCCCTGCTCCCCGGTCGCTCGACAAACGCCAGTCGCGAGCCCCCGGGGGGGGGGGCGCCTGCGACCCAGAGAGACTCTCAGCAGCTGCGCTCCTCCGAAGCAACTCGCGACGCGCCTCTCGCCCAGAATCATCAATCGATCGTTGTTTAATCCTGGAGAAATCCGGCGAGCCTATGAGGCTCTTTGATTATTTTTGTTCACAGACGTCCAAGTTCAGGGGGCGGGTCAGAAAGTCATCCGGCGGCGCGTCGCGGGCGTTCATCCGTCGGGGTCGTACGATGAGAGAAGAGGCGCGCTGATTGCGAATGCGGCGCAGTGCCGCGCGTGCGATCTGTTCGTCGCGTAAACGGACGGCTTGCCCGCGACGCACGTACGCCGCAGGAGGGACGGACGCTACGACATCGAACGGATGGGCGCGGCTCGGTAGGTTTGCCGATGCCATGCGGAAGACGAAGACTCACCATTGACGGCGATATCTTTGCCCACGTAGACCTCGCGGAGGAGGCCCAAGACTTTGCTTTCAGGAGGGTCCTGTGCATGGATTATAGACCAACTCCTCTCTGAATTTTATTTCAGAATTTGTGAAGATTTCGGTTTTTTTTCTCTCATTTCAAAATACCGTGAGTGCTCATGAGTCAGCCAGGCACGTGTCACAAAAGCGCAACACATTTCGTCGATAATACTGTGGTCCTGAGAGGAACAATCCAGAGAGTTGGTTGATGCTTTGGGCAATGGCCCTGTTTAATCGCTTCTTTATTGCCGTATTGTTGTTCCCGCTGTTACGCTCATTTACCCAGGAGAAGGCCCTCGTTAAGTCTCAAAATATTTTTCAGGAGGATCTTGCAACGTTTTTTTCGCAGTAGCAAGGAAGGAGGGGGGGGGGGCGATGTTCCAGCGGTGCGTGATTCTGATTTGAGCAATTTGCTGGCACATTTTCAGCATTGAGACATTGGCGAGTCTATGTTGTCTCTGCTCGTGCCAACGCGGCATCACGGATACTAAACACCGCGCACGGGACAGGACAACTTCGCCTTTCCCTGTCGCTGCGCCGCGCATCTGCGGAGGTCTTGAAATCTTCGCTGCTCTGCCGATTCGGACTGGAAGGCGAAGACTCGCTGTCGGCGTGGCCGTGCGACCGCCCCCTCGAAGCCGCACAGCCAAAGGGGGATTCATCGTCATCGGCCGCACGCCAGCGCCCACGTTACTCTGCAAACGCCAGGCCTCCCACCGAGAGCCCGCTGGGTTCAAGCCCGGGGCTGGTGCGACGCGGCTACGGCGCGATGCATCATATGATTGAAAAGCTGCACCGCGAAAATCGTGCTCACGGACTTGAATGATCGCCTACTCGCTCTCCTCGGCCAATCAATGTTATTCAGTTGGTTTTCTCTCACTCGCCGTCTCGCTCACTCAGCTATGAACTCGTTCACTCGCGCAATACCGAGATTCCCTCCTGTAGCCTTGATAGACTTTCGGAGGCAAGTGCTCTTGGCGAGCACCGCACACGAGGCGTTGGGTATCCAGCACCACGCCCGGCCGCCTTTGTCTCCCGAGTGGCGATGTTTTACACACCCCCACCAGGTACTCGTTTGAGGCAGAGTCGCCCTAGGGGAGGCCCAGGACCGGTTAGATAGTCGTCACCGGTGTTGGCCATGAGCGGGAATCGAACTCGGGTGGCCGGGTTCGTAGTGCAGTGCACTGACCAACGCTCCACCGCTTCCCACGACCACTCGCTCACCCACTCGATATTTATTTTTGCGAAAATATCGCCGAATTTGAATTACCCTTTGCATTTCCTGACAACAACAACAAGACGTACTTTTTTATTGTACAAAAGCACGGCAATTAACGTTCTAAGTAAATATCCGTAACGCTTTAAAGTAGCATTTTGCAAAAAATAAAATCCAGAGTAATTGGCAGCATGGTGGATATACGACCTCATGATTTTCATAGCTCACTGAGTTAACTGGCTTATTTAGTGCGAGATTGACGGCGCGTGTGCATTATATGCGTTACGGGTTGGTGTAAAGTTGCAACGATTTAAACAAACCTACTTGGCTGGAGTCAAGTTCTCCTTGCAGAACGCTAAAAGTGATCGTCATGTGCACGTGAAGTCCGCCAAAAACATAAGAAAAAAAACTACAAACAACGAAATTGTGACAACATCTACCGACCACGAACAACTGAAATCGCGACAACCCTCGCATCGTGAACGCTCCCCGGCGTGTCGTACCGCTCCGCGAGAAACGATTTCACGGCCGCGCCACCGCCACGTCAATCCGCGGTCAAAGAGGCCGGTGATGCGAAGTGGCGTTGAAGCTCCCTCGCCTGTCGCGTCTGTGCAGAATTTGGGCCGTGATCAGCTGTGAAGACGGCGGTGACCGCACGCGCACCAACAACGCCTCCAAGACGACTCCGCTCGCTACAGCAAACGACGACGCCGTTGTTCTAACTTGTGGCGCTGCATTGACACGAAGCAACCAACGACGGACGATCGGGCCCGTTCGTCAACAAACCCTGCTCACGAGAGACAAGAAAGCATGACGGGCGACGTTTCAGGCAACGGCCCTCCTCCATCGCACGTCGCCTCTTGCATCCTGTATATATTTATTTGTTTTTAAGGGCAGTGTTATTTGACGATCGTGTTGAGTTTTATACTCGTTTTAGGGGAAAAAAAAGTTACCGTGCGTATGTGTGTACATTGAATTTTTGCAGGAGCCTTGTTTTGTATCGAACTATTTATTCATCATAGACGCGTAAGATCGACCACCGAGGTCAATGGCGACTTTTGGGGGTGGTTTGGAGCAGGGCACTGATAGAACAGAGGTCTGGCCTGTCACAGACAAGTGTGCCACAGCACTCGACAATCAACAACTCTCAAGTGTAACATTGCATCTATGTCACACAAGTGAGTGGCTGCTGCTCTATAATGTCTGCTGGCAAAATAACAGCACTGGCTTAACAGGCCTGACCTCTCTGATGAGATCCAGAGTTTGATGGGCTTGAAACAAATGCTGTCAATGAGGAGTTGTCTGAAAGACTTATTGATTCAACGGTTTAAGGACTATAACGTTTAGCTTTTAATGGAGGCAGACTCTTGTCGATAATGATCTGGCCAGATGTCTCAGCGGTAGAGCAAGTGGCTTGTGAGTTCACAGCCTGGTCGGCGAAGGATTGTCTGAGCCCAGCATCCCTCACAATGTCATCTCGCGGCGTCAGGTCGAGCACGGCCTCTGGTGACAGCCACGACCAGGCTCTGCCAACCCACGCCCTGTCTCTCGCTGCCTCTCGTTGCTGGGTCAGTGTGCGAGGCCGGCCGTGTTCTTGAGGTCGTCAAGCCGCCTCCTCCGAAGTCGACTTCTCATCCTGCCACCTTCTCCATTCCCAAGCGAGGCCGATTCCTCTGGGCCAGAGATCATCAATACGTGTCCAAAGTTCATTTAAAAAAAAAAAAAACGAGTACCAGTGGTTGTCCTGTGGATAGCCTCGCCGCACCCCGCCACAGGAATGAGACATTTTCCACGATTGGCCCAGGGCTGTAAACAGGAGATGAGCGCCAATGCCTGCGACGCTCGATGGAAGCAGGAACCCACTCGAAACCTGTTTGACTCGTCCACAGCGTGCGGCACATGGTGCTCATAATCACATCGGCGATCTTACGTGAAGCACAGTTAGGAAAACAATAGTATTTTGAGTGTCATCGTTTTTGCAGCATGTGCGTTGAAAATAGCCATACGATGTCGGTGAAAAGCTACGTTAAGTTATTATTAATAAATTCCGTGTACATCAGGTTGACGTTCATAGCGCGCGTAGTGTTACCGTTCGTAAGCTGCATTTTTGGCAGCTTCTGTGAGTGCCTGTCATGTCCTTCCCTCTGCACCTCCGATTAGCACGATTGGCTACGTACGGTGCGGAAGAAATTCAACATACATACATACAATCGATCGGTGTGAAATGTATATAACGTTCCATAATTCAGCGATAGCGCCAGAGGGAAGCGGCGGACGGCACAGAACCAGACGAGTTGCGATGGTCGCTGGAGATTGAGAATTTTGTTTTATTATTCAGGACTTGAAAGCGCCGATTGTTGGAGGTTGACCGGACTTGAAAGGGGGCCGTGCCGTTCCAGGCCACTGGGGCCCCCCAATGAAAAGGCTTCCGTTCCCGCTGGCTTCAGCCGAGCGGGTTTGACACACGGCATGGCCCTCTCCGGGCGAGCAAGTTTGCGTGGCGGCCACATTGGGTGGATGACGATGCTCGCGTCGGCTGCTAGTGTGTACACGTACGTACGTTGGGGATTTCTTTCGCGCCATACGTAGCCAAGCGTGCTTATTGAAGGTGCCGCGGTGGGAGAGGGGGGGGAAGAAAAAAACTGTTAACTTTTCAAACGGGAGTTATCTAGGTTGGCCGGTTTTCCATATTAGTGCCGATCAAATAATGAATCATTCTTAAAAATTGTATTTCCACCACGCGACAAACTCTACTCACGGTACCTTCCGCCCCTGTGTTCATCCACCGGCTGTCAATCCCCACTGCGTGCGGGTCGACGTGGGGTCAATCGACCACACTTAACCTCGCGCTCGTCAGTGTGGCTTGGTGAAGGTGGGACCCGTGCGGGGCCTGTAGCATGATGTTATAAAGGTGCCCTGAATATAAAAAAACACGGAAATATTAAAACACATTTTTTTACTTACATAGTAAAGTCATTTTATTTGTTCATTTGCTATACAGCCAGACAATACGACAAATCGCTAACCTTAAACACTCGGTCGTTCGTAAAAGTTGAAGGCGGTATAGTACTATAGTGATAGAGCAAGTGCAGAATCACTGAACCGGAATTGATAGCTTGGAGAGCATTTAGCGCGGAGCCCTTTAAAGTGCGGGGCCCGTAGCTACTACATATGTACAGCAGTAGTAGTAGTAGCTACTGCATATTTAGTAGCTACTATATATGTAGCTACATATGTAGTAGCTACTTTTGTGACTAGGATCATCAGGCTCTGGGTGGGACCCACGTAGACGCGGGAGTGCAGGACAGCACAGCGTGGATTTCTGCCTGCAAACCGCGCCGCCCCGCGCCTCCGACTAGCGCGGTTGGCTACATGCGGCGCGGAAGACGCCCGACGTACGTGCGTACATTCTGTGAACGTGTTTAGTTGCTGGATTTATTCCGCTCGTTTAGCCACGAGAGCCTCGCCGAGTCTCGAGGAGCCTCTCCATCAGCAAAGGCTCCCGCCACGGCTTCGCGGAGCAGAGGCGACGATGTCGCTACGCGTTGAACGACGCGTTCATTTACTGCGTCGTTTTTTTGTGCAAAAAAAAAGCAAAAGCGTTGGCGCTCAAGACAACGCGATGGGCCCCGATCGTAGTTTATTTTTTGAGTGACGTCCCCGGGGGGAGTCTTCACAGTGTCCGCTGTAACGCAGAAAGGCGCCTGACCTGAACGGGGGGGGCAACTCACCCCGCACAAAAAAAAACCGAGCACCGCATCCGGTGTAACTCTCCCGTGAGCTCGTGGTGGAAATTCCACGTTCCTAATGCGGTGCGAGCCTCATCCGCAGGACAACCGAGTTGACTTATCCTCACGAAGTGGGTCCTGATTGTATCAACCCCAATCGGAGGGATGATGGGCTGAATCAACCACACCCCCAACCACCCACCACCAACCCGTCCCCCCTTCCGATCGTGAGCCGCTCGCTCTACCGCTGAGCCAGCTCAATGTGGGGCCCCACGGGTTAGCGAAACCTCACTGAGCCCCAAGCCTCTTTTTCAGGAGGGTCCTGACAAGTTTTCGAGAGCAGAGGAGCAATTATTGATATGTGTATGTATGTATATATATTCCAAATTGACTAATTTGAGGGTAAGTTTTCAAATTTGGGCCATGACGCCCTGCACATACACAGTGAGTGGCCCACTCTGACGAATTGACATCATGGGGATCCTTAAAATCCACATTCGGCATGTAGCATTTCTACGGTTAATGTCCCCTCGGGCATTGAACGAGGGTGGCCAACAAATCCATGCCGGGAACCTCTCAGCAACAAGCGGCGAACGCGCTGCCTTGTGGGTCGTGTCACCGTCCTCATCCTGCAGTGTATTGCCATGAAAACCGAGCTCGAGTACGATGGATAAGGCACAACATGGCTTAAAAATACCACCGGTGCTCCGTAATGTTACGGATGATATTGGTCGCGAAAGCCTACGTGTTAAACACCAGTGCTACTTTTTTTTTTAAACGTACTCACCCAACGTTGTGTTATCGCCGTCCCTTGTAAATACTGCACGTGAAACGGACGTGTGGGCGATCGTTGCGCCGTTATTTATTTGCTGAAATGTCAATCGCTGTCCATTGTTTCGCCAGTGACATTGTACGGTGTTGCGAGAGAGAGAGATTAAAGAAAATCACCGCTCAAATAAAACGTGCAGTGCCAAGCACAGGGCTGGCTGGCTGGCTGGCGTCGATGGCACACGCGCACAAGCTCGCAGGCGACAGCTGCCGACGGTGGGGATGACGGCGCGCACACAAAGACCCCGACAACGTTAACACACCGCTGGTGGCGAGTGCCGTTAGCGACTGGCGCCTGTGAAGCGACAGAACACGCCGCGTGAGTGCGAGGTGTGAGCCAGTAACCTCGCATGGCCACTTTAGTCTCGGTGCTGATGTCTAATATCAGGTCTGGGTCGACCTTGGGGAGGCCCAGAACCGGCACAGATATTCATCGGCGATGTTGGCCGTGAGCAGGAATCGAACTCGGATCACTGGGTTTGTGGCGGAGTGCACTGCGCCATCGCGCCCCACCAGCCTGACCAATAACAATACCCGCCATTCGCCGCTAAGTGATGGGAATGTCACCACGGCGCTTGTGCCATGCTAGGTGCACTTTGAGGCCACGTGAAGTGTCGAAGGCTCGCTGACAGTAGGTCACGGGACAGACCCAGGTGCCATGGGTTGGCTGACTGAGATGACTGGTAATGTCCTGCTGTGTAAACTTGCTGTATTTTATCTGCCCGGCGCACCGCTCGTTGTTGTGAGCGTCGCTCCTCTGCCCTCCGTTGTTGTTGGAGGACGATTGCCTCCAACAACAGCCTTACACGCACGCACACTGGGAAACTGTTACAGTCCAGATGGCACAGCCAAAGCAGACTCACCACTGAACATCAAATCATTAGAACGGTTGGTATACACATACTTATAGCGCAAGGCTATGATCGCGAAGGAAGGCACCGCTGTGTTTCACAGACATCGTCTGCTGTGGTTTTTCGCAGTAGGGAGCCGATGTTGTTCAGCGCAATCCCAAATTGAGTAATTTGCGGGCTCCTTTCAAACTCGGGCAAATTCGAGCCACGACGCCGGCACGCAACGGGCCTCTTTTCGAACGCACGCCTGACTTCTTTCGCACGGTGCGTAGCCAACCGCGCTAATAGAGTGGCACCACGGGACCCATATCGTCCACTCCGCAAGCGGGCGGCGTGTGGAGTATTTCACAGTCAACACGCCGGGAATGGTAACCAGGGCGGCTTGTCCGAGCCGAACCACGAGCGTCTGCGACAAACGGCGAACGCGAATCCAGTGGAATCCAGCGGACGGCACAGAATCGGAGAGGGACATCTAGGGCCGAGGCGGCAGCCTCAGTACTGCTAAAGCGATGGGAGATGGTGGAGAAATCCACGCTGCGACTGTGGATGCGAAACCAGAATGAGCATCTTTATTTATCCTGGAAGAATCCAATGAGCCATGAAGCTTTCATTGTTTTCACAGATGGAGCACACGGAGCAGATCATCCTAACTTGCACTCTCGGATCTTTTTATATTTGTTTCAGTTTCATAGCTCATCGTCATTCGTGCAAACTGCACCTCACAATCGCTGAGGAGCCACAGAAAAGCTGGAAGGTAGCCTGGTGGTGAACCGGTTGCTGCCAACAATTGACCAAGCTCTGCAGTCCTTTGTATAGTAAGATGTTTTCAGCCAATTAATTCGTTTATTCATTTCGATAGAGGAATAGGTCGCCACTCAACATCCAAAATAAACTTTCTCGTGACAAAATTACTTAGATTTATAATCTTTGCTATTCACATACAGCCATATTAAAAACAAACTTGCAGCAGTGTTTTTGTACCAAGCCTGACTCTGCTGATGAGACTCAGAATGTCAAAACTGCTTCAGAGTTAACAACATGGGACGTTTCTTGCCAGTATCAAAGTATAATAATAGATTTTACCCTTTCTGGAAATAAAGCAGGTGTTAAGATTTTGATTTAAAGCTTTCGTGACTGCAGGGATTCATATTCTTGGTTCTTTCGGTAAAGTCATGTAGAAGGGAAACAATAAAATAATATTAAAAATATAAAACAATAAAATTATCACGACGTTTCGACTGCTACAAAGCAATGATCATCAGGTGTGAAAACCACAGCAAGAAAATTTTAAAAAAGTGGCGGTTATTTTTAACATTGAATAATAACGTTAAAAATAACCGCCACTTTTTCTAAATTTCTTGCTGTGGTTTTCACACCTGATGATGATTGCTTGTGTTGCAGTCGAAACGTCGTGATAATGTTATTGTTTAATATTTTTATTATTATTTTATTATTTTATTGTTTCCCTTCTACGTGACTTTACCGAAAGAACCAAGAATAGGTGTTAAGATGTTCAAACACCAAACAGAAACCTATTTGCAAGGAGTCATGTCTGCAGTATTAAGTTTTACCATAAAGGGTATGAAACCTATTCAAATACTTTGATACTGGCAAGAACGGTCCCATGTTGTAGCTGTTCACCCCGAGTTATACAGTGAGGGAAAAAAGTATTTGATCCCCAGGTGATTTTGTACGTTTGCCCACTGACAAAGAAATGATCAGTCTATAATTTTAATGGTAGGTTTATTTGAACAGTAAGAGACAGAATAACAACAACAAAAATCCAGAGAAACGCATGTCAAAAATGTTATAAATTATTTGCATTTTAATGAGGGAAATAAGTATTTGATCCCTCTGCAAAACATGACTCAGTACTTGGTGGCAAAACCGTTGTTGGCAATCACAGAGGTCAGACGTTTCTTGTAGTTGGTCACCAGGTTTGCACACATCTCAGGAGGGATTTTGTCCCACTCCTCTTTGCAGATCTTCTCCAAGTCATTAAGGTTTCGAGGCTGACGTTTGGCAACTCGAACCTTCAGCTCCATAGATTTTTTTATGGGATTAAGGTCTGGAGACTGGCTAGGCCACTCCAGGACCTTAATGTGCTTCTTCTTGAGCCATTCCTTTGTTGCCTTGGCCGTGTGTTTTGAGTCATTGTCATGCTGGAATACCCATCCACGACCCATTTTAAATGCCCTGGCTGAGGGAAGGAGGTTCTCACCCAAGATTTGACGGTACATGGCCCCGTCCATCGTCGCTTTGATGCGGTGAAGTTGTCCTGTCCCCTTAGAAAAAACACCCCCAAAGCATAATGTTTCCACGTCCATGTTTGACGGTGGGGATGGTATTCTTGGGGTCATAGGCAGCATTCCTCCTCCAAAAACGGCGAGTTGAGTTGATGCCAAAGAGCTCCATTTTGGTCTCATCTGACTACAACACTTTCACCCAGTTGTCCTCTGAACCATTCAGATGTTCATTGGCAAACTTCAGACGGTCATGTAGTAGTGCTTTCTTGAGCAGGGGGACCTTCAGGGCGCTGCAGGATTTCAGTCCTTCACGGCGTAGTGTGTTACCAATTGTTTTCTTGGTGACTATGGTCCCAGCTGCCTTGAGATCATTGACAAGATCCTCCCGTGTAGTTCTGGGCTGATTCCTCACCGTTCTTATGATCATTGCAACTCCACGAGGTGAGATCTTGCATGGAGCCCCAGGCCGAGGGAGATTGACGGTTATTTTGTGTTTCTTCCATTTGCGAATAATAGCACCAACTGTTGTCACCTTCTCACCAAGCTGCTTGGCAATGGTCTTGTAGCCCATTCCAGCCTTGTGTAGGTCTACAATCTTGTCCCTGACATCCTTGGAGAGCTCTTTGGTATTGGCCATGGTGGAGAGTTTGGAATCTGATTGATTGCTTCTGTGGACAGGTGTCTTTTATACAGACAAGCTGAGATTAGGAGCACTCCCTTTAAGAGTGTGCTCCTAATCTCAGCTCGTTACGTGTATAAAAGACACCTGGGAGCCAGAAATCTTTCTGAGTGAGAGGGGGTCAAATACTTATTTCTCTCATTAAAATGCAAATCAATTTATAACATTTTTGACATGTGTTTTTCTGGATTTTGTTGTTGTTATTCTCTCTCACTGTTCAAATAAACCTACCATTAAAATTATAGACTGATCATTTCTTTGTCAGTGGGCAAACGTACAAAATCAGCAGGGGATCAAATACTTTTTTCCCTCACTGTAAATGTCCTGCTAGTGCATTGTCTTTGTGCTGTTCGACTTTTGGCGTCCTCTGGTCTAAGACTGATTGAGACTAGGCCCTAAAGAATTTTGTCTCTGGTGTAGACCAGTTTCAAAGACAATGCATCATATACTACCAGATCATTTTTTTGTTTGCATGTTCACCGCAAGTATATGTGGGGTTAATACAGACATGACTCCTTGCAAAAGGTTTCTGTTTGGTGTTTGAACATCTTAACACCTGTTTTATTGCCAGAAAGGATCAAACCTACTCTTATACTGTTTTTGCATTCGCTTGGTTAAACAAATGCTGCTTGGTAATATTGGTCTGGAAAGCCAATCATTCTACACAGTTTTGGGTAAAACTATAGAACACAACACAAAAGAACCTGACGATTAACGATTATTTGGCATTATAGTTTGGTGTCGAACTAGGACCCATTGGTTACACAAAATATCCCTTGCCTGTGAACATTAAGCAGTCCGCCAGCATTGCTTCAAGCAGAGGTGACAATGTCTATTTAGATTATGTTATAGACATTTAGATTATTTTGGCTGCTATAAATGTCTAAATGATAAGCCGCTTTGTTGAGCTATCATTTGTGGCCAGGTAGGTCGCTTTTGAAAAAATAAGTTCATACCTCAGTGTGCTTTGTCTGGTAGGATGGGGATGGTTTAGTTGTTGTATTTGTTTGTGTTTGGGTGATGTTTACCCTTCTTGTACTTTGCACTCCTATCGTGTTTTTGGATTGTTTGTTGCTGTAACGTTCTGACCCCGTGTATAAATAAATATTCTTATTTTTGAATGCTGATGTCACGCGTGTAAAATACTCATTGACAGAAAACATCCATATACAAAGATCAATGCAGCCAAAACGCAGTAATAATAATATGTAAATGTGGATTAACTCTTCAACACACCGGTGGGCTGAAGTAGTGAATTATTTGTCTTTTGTCAACGTGACACTTTTTTTGCTGATTGGCCGTGTCGGGTGGTGGAGGGTTACGACACATTTATAAATAAACGCGATCTAACCCAAAAACCTTTATTATGAATAATATTGGTCGCGAAAGCCTACGTGTTAAATAATAACAATTCAAACGGATAATGCGCATTCCATCCTAGGATCCCACATCGCCGAAGCATTCCACCCTCACCCCAACAGTATTTCACGGGGACAAATGCGCGCCTATTTTCCACAAGGTAATCGTCGGTTTGTAACGAAGTAAAATAAGTCGCTCCTCGCGCTCAAGGACACGCGCGGGTGGCTTCGCAGCGATCGTGTCCGTTCGCTGCATTGGCCCAACAAGCCAGTCACGGGGGTGGGGGGGGGGGGCCTTTACCGCTGTTGCGTATTTTTTTTTGCGCGACGCAGGTCACGGAGCGAAGGCGCTCAGTTTCCTGATAAGCAAAAGCCAAAAAGATTTTAGACCACCGATCACAGCCGCGCGAACTTTTGCTTTGCAAACGCGCCAACAACGGTGATTAAGAAAATTACATTTAACGTTTAAATCATCCCCCACCTCCCCGCTTTGTGAACGGGAGGAAATATTTTAAACGTGACAATTTACGCCGGGTTGAGGTGTAATTATCCGGCGGCTGGTTATGTCATTTTCTCGGCTACCCCCTCATTTGATTCACAAATTACATTTTAAAGAGTGCGAAGGTAGTATGCCTTGACAAACGGCAATTACTCGGACGCTTGCAGAACCTGTCATTATACGTGAATGCCAAAAACAGTTGTGAAATCAATTAAACTATGCACCACATTGCATCGAAATCAATCGTCTGAGCAGCGTTTATAACAGCATTGCATAGCGATGTAACACCGTGTAATGTTCTCACATTTATTACAATGGAGATCGTAATAACAAACATTTAATAAATACATCAATTCAACCGTGCATATTTTGGTTTTAAAACCAATTACACTCCAAATTGGTCGGGCAGTGATGAGCGCAATGTGCTATGACCTGAACGTCAACTGCCATCGAAGGTGAGCGATATCTGCACAGGGTCAGCATCACCCCATCACCAACCTGCACTGACCAGCGTGGTGAAGTATGGTAAATCAACCCCCCCCACGACCAACACGGGCATGGGGAGGGAGACCTTCATCCAGCAGTCGGATTGATTCGAATTGTGGATCATGAGAAAATTTCTTGAAAGGATTGTCATCCTATTGCCACTGTTATTCCCAGCGCTCCCATACAATAACATCCCTTCCAGCCTGAGATTAATCCCGTAGGGAAGGAATAACTGGCAGAGGGGTCTTATTAAGTCAATTACAAACACCATCGGCTGGGCTAGGGATGGAGCGAGGATGAACTTTGACTGGGGGGTGTCGGCAGAAATCTTTGTTTACTCAATAACGACCGCGCGTATTGTTGTGTTGTATGTGCATCAGAAGAGCAGTGTGTGTGCACAGTGAAGCAAATTGAGACGGCATGCAGGTTTCAGCCTTGTCCATTTATTCACCCGGTTCTGAAGTTAACCGCACACCGAAGCCCATTAGAAAAACACACACACACACTTGCTTTACACGCGGGAACTGTCACAGAACGATGAAGGGAAACAAGGTGGATTATACGTCTCTTCGGGGTGGTGACATAACCCAGCAGTAGCCTGTTTGTTGCTTGCTTCAGATGTTCGTGGTTCGAATGCGGCAGATGGCCTTGGGTCAGACTGAAGGTGTATTAACCGTGGCACATGTGCCGTCTGCTTAAGAGTGGGCGTCAAAGATCCTGTGACCTTATTCGGAAAGAGTAGGCTTTTGTGTGCCGGAGTCATGGGTCCAAATTTGCCGAGCTAAAGACATTACCTGCAAATCAATCAAGTGGGATTACACACAGGAACACTGCTCCTAACTGTGAAACTACTGCACACGATGTCTGTTATGCAGGGCAACTTCGTGAAAGCCCTACACTATAAGCATGGTGCGAATACCAAATGTAGTCAATTATTATAATAATGATAATTATTGTGGATTTTTTTCACGTGTATTAAGCACGTTTCACTTCTTAGGATATATTGACGATGTGCGCCAGATTCACGTGTTGGCGAATGTTCCTCTCTGACCGATCTTTTGTAAAAGTGCTCCAACGATTCAATCACTAAACAACAAGGCCAGTCTACCGGGCTTATGTGTTTGAACTGTTTTGTCAAGATCTGAATCTGGTTCTCTGTCTTGACTTTTATTTTGCACTGCGTTCTTTTTCCTCTCCAGATGATGGGATTTCTGGCTGGCTTGTGGGAGCCGTAGCTTGTTCAAGGTTTGTGGTGTAGTCACGGGCTTTATTCCAAGTACGATCATCGTTGGAAATAACCTCTTCGATCCAGCCACGTCGTTTGTCGGCGGCGAGATGTCCCGAGAGACGCCAAGCGGACTGCACACGTGCTCGACCGCAAGCTACTGCTCATCTACGATGCGCACTCCCACGTTCTCATCCCAACCCTTCCGGCAGTTCCGCACAATCCAGTCGTGCTCATCGTCGTCTTGAAAACAAATCAACAACAACAACAACAGCAAACGGCAACTTATTATTAGGGGCACGCTCAGTATGTTCCACGTGACACAAGTTGCTCGAGCACAGCAGCCCCGTGCAGCACGCGCACAGCTTGCATTGGCGTCCCTTTGAAGCGCGAAAAACAATGGACAAAGCTCACGTGGTTCAAAGTTTTGTACTTCAGGATCGTATAGCCCTGGCAGACGGTTGTGTTTGGGACAATCGCGTCAAATCATGCGAGGTTTTTTTTTGAAAGCGTTAGAATAGTTCTGAGGATGCCAATCTGACACGTGTTGCGCCCATGCTGATTGTGCAGGGTGGCAAGCCGATGTGAAGGGCACACAACGCTATTAAGTTAAACACCCACACGGGGAAGGAGGGGGGGGGGTATTACGTAGCAGCGATAAAGTCGCCCAAGGAACACCACACGGATTTCTCACCATGGGCAAATGTAATAGCACGGAAGACATTGTTTAGCCTCATTAACATTTTAACAAAGTCTTTGTCAAGCAGGGAGGGATAATAATAGTAATAATAAGTTTTCTTATAGTCTTGGGACATTTGGGCTACGCCCATTTCAAACCCTTATTAACAATTTGCCTTGGAAGCTAGCCCCCCCCTTTTCCTGAAGACGACTGCTTGTGTTGCGAACGAAACGTCGTAGTTTTTTGTTATTTTCTTTGAACCTATCTACGTGACTTTACCGAAATACCCAAGAATATAAATTCCTGCAGTCACGAAAGCTTTTAGTCAAGATTTAACAGTTTGTTTTCCAGTGCCTGGGGCGTCTCGGAGCAAGTTATGCGCGTTAAGTGAGTTACATCACAAATAATCTCAGACATTCTAAGGGCACCGCCAATGCAAGCTGTTCTCGTGCGGAACAATGTTTCTCAGCGACTAGCCTGCAGGTGGGCATTCGTCTGCCAGTAGGAGGGTGGCGATGATTGCTGCTGTGTGTCATCCCAATTGAGCAATTTTCAGGCAAGTTTTCGAATTTGAAAAATTTGGACCGTGACACCCAGCACACAATGACCTGCTAGTTTCAAGTTGAGATCCGGTGATCTTTAACGTCCACTTTAAAGCAGATGGCGCGTTATTCGTGGTTCATACACCGGCAGTGTTAACCAGGGTGGCCTTCCGCGTGCGAACCACTAACCTCTGCAACGAGTGGATAACACACTACTGCTGGCCCACGTCACCGCCCCACAGGTTTATAAAGTGCAGATTTTGAAAATATTAATAAAGTTGATTATGTCCGTTAAACTTTTAAACTTCACCCAGTGTCTGTCATGTTGTTCTATCACCCCACATGCTACTTAATTACCAAGCACATAATTGGGCTGTTCGTAAATAGTGATACGAAAGACATTTTGACGTAAAATGAGTCACTGGTTACCCAGTCTCACCGACATGAGACTGGGTAACCAGTGTTATGTATTATATGAAGAGATGCAATACCCTTAGCCAATTACCCCCACAGAAAACCAACTGCATACAACTGGTGAATTATACAATGACCAAACAAGGAATGCTCTGCAAGCCACCGCCAAAACGCCTAAAAGGTTGCAGCTGTACAAGATGGTTAACTTAAACCTCCCATATGTTCTAAACGTACCAGATCAATGGGTGCAAAACCATTCATTTGTAACGTTTAAGTGAGATAAAGGCAAGCCTCCGGTCACTCTCCCAGCTGGCTGACCAATTCAATATCGCATTGATCCCAGACACTGCGTCACAGCCCCACAGCCTCTTTGGGTGCAAATTTGCATTTATCAATCCACGGCTAACATGAGAAAATCGCATCTCCTTTATAACGTTTTGACACTCATCGGAACGCCATTGACAGGTCAGGACTGTTTAATGCACCTTGAGACAGAGGTCAGGCTTTAAGGGATTTAATGTCATCCCATTGGAGTGACAGAGTCAGACTCGAGTGCTCAGGGACAAGCGTGGGGAAGGTTCAAATCGGCCTTTCACCTCTGCAATCGATACGAAGCCTGCCAAAGCCATCAGCAATAAAGCAGTGCTCTTACATTGGCATCGTTCAAGGCTCTCGTGAAAACATTCAGCCCCGGGTGAAGTACACGACCGTGTGTGTGTTGGTGAAGTGTGATTGAAAATAAACCTATTCGAAAATGAACAACGGAACAGAAAAATAAAAATAAAACTCGACAGATCCGTCAATAACACCGCTTTAACATGAACAATACATAACAGGCGACGTATTGGGTAATGACCCTTCCTCATAGCAGACGTGCACCCTAAATTCCAGCAACTTAAACGAACGCAATTAATAAGAACGGAAGATATCCCCCTGAGAGCTGATCCGATTCCAGCGTCACAGTCGAACAAACCAACCGTGGCCGTGTGCTCCAAACGGCCAACACAAAGACGACCAAAGGCCTCTTGTTTAAAACTACAAGGCGAAAGTGGACGGCCAAGGGGTACATTAACATAGTTCATGAGCAACGGATGTGGCAAAGCTCGACGAGACAAATCGACGAGGTGGTAGGGCAAGCACAAGACTGTACCCAGTGTAAGCGTACAGTACGTGTGCTGAACTTCGTTTGCACCGTACGGAGCCAACCGCGCTGATCGGAGGTGCGGGGGGAAGGACAACAAGCTAAACACAACAATCTATTGTAAAGAAAGTAGCATCTAGAGTGTTTGGTTACTATAAATATCCACGTGATAAGCCACTTCGTTGAGCTATCATTTCTGGCCAAGGTCGCTTCTGAAAAACAGCTGGAGAGCTCAGCTGGCCTGGCCTGGTAAAATAAAAAAAAAAGTTTAGTTTTAGTTTCTATAATTTATTGCGTAGAGAAGGCAGGCGTGAGGATCGCACCTGCGTTGCGGAGGAACTCGTGATTGTAGTCGGACACCACACGGGTCCCCGGATCATAGAAACCGTCGCCGCAGTCGTAGCAGCCCGGCGGGATCTCCCTCGGGGGGTCGATGTTTGTCAGCTGTGAACGACCTGCGACATCGTACACGTGTGCATACCCACAGCCACGCAACGATGTATTGCTTCATCGGTCAAAATCTATCCACGCGCTCACAGTATGCGCACTGAACCGTGCACATTACTTTTGATTAGAATAATTTTCATTAGAATAATTTTCATTCCTATACGATGTACATTAGAACGGACTGGGAGACCCAAAGCCACTCAGCGAGACCACAGAGATATGGAAGAACACCGCAGTGGAGACACGTTCTGCCTGGGCTTAATCAGTTGTCGCTGTCCATCTTATAAGATTATGCTTCTGTTGTTGGGGTTCTTCTGTGGATGGCTGGGCAGCCCAACCCTCGAACGGACAGATCCTTCCACAACTCGGACGCAGGTGCTTCTACAGAGGGGATTACCCAGATGAAGTTGGCTGGTGCCACCAAAGGCGCATGATTGGCTTCGTGCTCAAATGATTAATCGATTACATTGACTTATTTCTCATATAATCCATGAATCGGCAGTTAGTTTCAAGTGGTGGATGCCGAGCACGGGACCACTACAGCGCTGGAAGCTCATGGCGGTGCATGCCCTGCGTGACGCACCTCCGGTGAACGGCGACAACGATGGCCTCATCAGCGGCATGGATGATGAATTCGTCATTTACATTAAATCCTGTATTTAAAATGCATGTTTTTGTGTGTATGTGTAACACGTAGGCTTTCCACGACCAATATCATCCATAATAGCGGTTTTCTGGGTTAGATCGCGTAAACATAAATGTGTCGTCAAACCCGCCACCACCCGACACGGCCAATTAGTAAGGTTTGTCACGTAAGCAGAACATGCTGCGTGAACGAAATTTCACACGGCACGCGCCACGAGATCATCAAACAAGAAGCACCCAGGAGGCTGCGTCGTCATCCATCCGCGTCAGCATCACGGTGTCCCTGCAGTTCAACAGTGGCGCCTCCACATCACCCTTCTAGTCATTCAAACATGCAGATGTTTTGGCGAGTTCCCTGAAAAGGTTAATTATATTTGCTTGAAATTAATTATTATTTAATCGTTTTAATATTTATGTTCTTTTTTTTATTATTGTTGTCTCGTGAAAAGTTACGTAGGTGTGTATTTTCAGGTTAGGAGTCGAGTTGGAATGACTGTCCGAAACACGCCCCTAGGTTTTCACATTAAATTAATGGGAAAAGCCGTTCCGAATAACGAAATTTCGTTTTACGCCGTGTTTTTTCGAAGAACGCGTCGCTTTCGTGAATCGGAGTCTGTCTCTGCTCCACCGTCACTGGACATGACAGCGTGTCTGCAAAGTGTCGTTACCCTCAAGTTACCTAAGCGTGCCGTTTGTTAACCTGCGCTAGTGACGCGTGATGTAACGCGGGATACAGGTTGTGGCCGTCGCGTGGAGGAGCGAATTTTGGCGAGCGTTTGTCAAGAGAATGATGGTGCGCACACTGACTGACCCCCCTCTCTGGACAAGAGCGCAAAGTGAAGGCCGTGGAGGCTGTGATGCTGCGGAATTTGTTGTAAGTGACCCATCGGAGTTTGTATTTCAGAATGTAAATAATTGTAATTGCATTCAAATGTAGTACGCTACATGTCATTTGTGTTCAATCGCACGTTGCTGATAACGTGAGTGGTACTTTGACATTGTAGACCCCCGTGTATAGTTCTGTATAGGCCAACAAAGTGAAATATCGCCACCTGCTGGAATACCTCAAAATTTCACTTGATTTGAATGGACAATGTGCCGATACTGCTTCTATTTGTCCAGAAACACAGGTTTACAGGTTATGGATGATATTGGTCGCGAAAGCCTGCGTGTTAAACTGCTCCTATTTTCCATTCATTACAGAAGTGCAGGCTCAAGACAGCCCTTTTTACTCTTCCTACTTCTGTATATTTGTCTTTATATAGAAATAAATAAATATCCACACTACGCTTACGTGAAGACCTATAGACTCACCTAGATACCCATAGACTCACGTGTAAACCCAGGACTGTTTTTCTCGCTATAAAACAAATATGCACTGAGTTTCTGACGGTGACTTGAAACACAGCCGCATTTAGACGCTGTATACATCCACTTTGTATTGTAGCAATTCTTGACGGTGTGAAATGCAAGAGAGAATCATGATATGCTTGGTAATAACATTTTTTGTTTTAAAAAACACCACTACTGTGTGCGTGTCCAGGAATCAATAATCTGACATCAGTGGAATGATAACGGAGTGCTTTCACCACTACGCTACCGCTACTGACTGCACGCTCTAGTTCAGGCCACCACGTGTGCTTGTTTGGAGGACAAACCAGCTGGTTTGAGGCCATTGCAGATCTCTGTGTAGAAGCGGCGATCGTCTCCAGTGCAGTACGACCAGCCGTCTTCTGCGTACACCAAACCATCTGCAAATATGTATGTCCCCTGGCAAGACACATGGTAAAAAAACAAACACTTTAAAAAAGTACAGAATGTGGCAATGCAGGACTGATACTATATATCATTAAAAAAAAACTCAGAATTTCGGAGCAAATAAAATTATTCATTCATAATATAGGTTTTTGGGGTTAGATCGCGTAAATATATAAATGTGTCGATAAAACCCACCACAACCCGACACAGGCAACTAGTAAGGGTTGTCACGTAAACAGAACATGCCAATACGTCACTAGTACAGTACACCGGTTGGTTCGGCCACAATATTGTCACCTTTTCAAAGCTATTATTTCAACATGCCAATGTATTGATCGAATTCTGACCCGATAAAGCTGCTCACTGGTGGCGGCTTAATGCTCTTCGCCACGTTAAATTCAGTAGAAGTAAAATAAAACGTTGAAATGCTAACAATGCAAGGTTGTGCATGCAAGTGTACAGCCACTTTGTGTCTGCTCAGGAATACCAAAGTCTCACAATCACACCTTAGGGCTGCCACCTGTTCGGGGTTTTGACCCCGGACAGTCCGTGAATTGGAATTTGTTGTGTCGGGTGCCAGAATTTGATTTTCCCGAGATCTGGTGGTATTTGTGTCGAACTTAATTGCAGTTTGCTACCGCGTTTTCATAGTGTTAGGCTCACGTGAGAATTACATCTGGGGGGTTGGCCTGCAGTGCAAAAGGTTGCAATACTAATCGGATCTGCTTAACAAGTAGGCTTTCACGACCAATATTATCCATAACAGAGGTTTTTGAGTTAGATCGCGGAAATATAAATGTGTCGTGAAACCCACCACCAACCGACACGGCCGATTAGCAAAAGTTTGTCATGTAAACAAAACATGCCAATTCGTTACGAGTTCAGCACACCGGTGCGTTGGAGAGTAAACCCACAACATCTACTAATCGAGTACAACGTGACGTTCCGCCGGTAATTACAACTAGCTCCATCAGGCGACAGCCAGAGTTGCGGGGAAATCCTCCTGCCGTTTCGGTCTCAAATCGGATCCACCGTACCTCGACCACTCGCCCATTCTCCCAGGTGGCCTGATACTTTCCCCGTCCAGGAAAGTGCATGGTGCCCTGCCCATGGGGGAGACCATCCTTCAGCGTGCCTTCATAGCGCGACCCTGTGCAGAACGTGTAGCAGCCCTCGCCCTCCATCCTGAAAGGTCAAAGCAATGCGCCTCGGGTGACACGGAACACGCGCGCGCCCGCAGTCAGTTGTGGGTGTCAGCTCTTGGTGTCCAATATCAGACAGGGACAGCGCCCGTCATGTATTGTGTACCGATACCCCTGGACGTGACGGCTCATACACTTATCTTGACATATGATACGTAACATTTGTATACACCACACACATATATATATCACACCAGATACGTCACTTTTCAAACATGACACCTGACACGTCTTCTGTTACATAACACCTGGCACAAATCTTTTGACACATGACGCCTGACATGTGAGTCCTGCCTCCAACGAACCTGCTACTTAACTCGTGCGTGGTGAGGGGGCAGCCAGGTTGGTAAGTGTGGTGAGTGATGACTTTGGTAAGCGGTGAGCACGGTGAGTGGCGAGTTTGGCTAGTGTGGTGACGGAGTTGAAGGGAGTCGTCAGTTTGGTGACGAGTTGTGGTGAGCAGTTGTGGCGGTGGTGAGCGTGGTGAATGAGCGGTGGTGAGGAGTTGTGACGATGGTGAGCGTGGTGAGTGAGTGGTGGTGAGCGTGGTGAGTGTTTGGTGGTGAGCGGTGGTGAGCATGGTGAGTGTGTGGTGGTGAGCGTGGTGATCGTGGTGAGTGAGTGGTGGTGAGCGTGGTGAGTGAGTGGTGGTGAGCGTGGTGAGTGAGTGGTGGTGGTGAGGGTGGTGAGTGTGTGGTGGTGAGCGGTGGTGAGCATGGTGAGTGAGTGGTGGTGAGCATGGTGAGTGTGTGGTGGTGAGGGTGGTGGTGAGGGTAGTGGTGAGGGTGGTGAGCGTGTGGTGGTGAGCGGTGGTGAGCAGGGTGAATGAGTGGTGAGGAGTGGTGAGTGAGTGGTGGTGAGCATGGTGAGTGTGTGGTGGTGAGGGTGGTGAGCGTGGTGAGTGAGTGGTGGTGGTGAGGGTGGTGAGTGTGTGGTGGTGAGCGGTGGTGAGCATGGTGAGTGAGTGGTGGTGAGCATGGTGAGTGTGTGGTGGTGAGGGTGGTGGTGAGGGTAGTGGTGAGGGTGGTGGTGAGGGTAGTGGTGAGGGTGGTGAGCGTGTGGTGGTGAGCGGTGGTGAGCATGGTGAATGAGTGGTGAGGAGTGGTGAGTGAGTGGTGGTGAGCATGGTGAGTGTGTGGTGGTGAGGGTGGTGAGCGTGGTGAGTGTGTGGTGGTAGTGAGGGTGGTGGTGAGGGTAGTGGTGGTGAGCGGTGGTGAGCATGGTGAGTGAGTGGTGAAGAGTGGTGAGTGGTGGTGAGCATGGTGAGTGTGTGGTGGTGAGGGTGGTGAGCGTGGTGAGTGTGTGGTGGTGAGGGTGGTGGTGAGGGTGGTGGTGAGCGGTGGTGAGTATGGTGAGTGAGTGGTGAAGAGTGGTGAGTGAGTGGTGGTGAGCATGGTGAGTGTGTGGTGGTGAGGGTGGTGAGCGTGGTGAGTGGTGGTGAGTGGTGAGGGTGGTGAGGGTAGTGAGCGTGGTGATTGGTGGTGGTGAGGAGTGGTGAGGGTGGTGAGCGTGGTGAGTGGTGGTGGTGGTGGTGAGGGTGGTGAGCGCGGTGAGTGAGTGGTGGTGAGCGTGATGAGTGGTGGTGGTGGTGGTGAGGAGTGGTGAGTGGTGGTGAGGGTGGTGAGCGTGGTGAGCGTGGTGAGTGGTGGCGAGGAGTGGTGGTGAGGGTGGTGAGCGCGGTGAGTGAGTGGTGGTGAGCGTGGTGAGCGTGGTTAGTGGTGGTGGTGAGGAGTGGTGAGGAGTGGTGAGGGTGGTGAGCGCGGTGAGTGAGTGGTGGTGAGCGTGGTGAGCGTGGTGAGTGGTGGTGAGGAGTGGTGAGTGGTGGTGAGCGTGGTGAGCGCGGTGAGTGAGTGGTGGTGAGCGTGGTGAGTGCTGGTGAGGGTGGTGAGCGTGGTGAGTGGTGGTGGTGAGGGTGGTGAGCGCGGTGAGTGAGTGGTGGTAGAGCGTGGTGAGTGGTGGTGAGTGTGGTGAGGAGTGGTGAGTGGTGGTGAGCGTGGTGAGCGCGGTGAGTGAGTGGTGGTGAGCGTGGTGAGTGGTGGTGAGGGTGCTGAGCGTGGTGAGTGGTGGTGGTGAGGGTGGTGAGCGCGGTGAGTGGTGGTAGAGCGTGGTGAGTGGTGGTGAGTGTGGTGATTGGTGGTGGTGAGGAGTGGTGAGGGTGGTGAGCGTGGTGAGTGGTGGTGGTGAGGAGTGGTGAGGAGTGGTGAGCGTGGTGAGCGCGCGGTGAGCGTGGTGAGTGGTGGTGGTGATTGGTGGTGGTGAGGAGTGGTGAGGAGTGGTGAGGGTGGTGAGCGTGGTGAGCGTGGTGAGTGGTGGTGCTGAGGAGTGGTGAGCGTGGTGAGCGTGGTGAGTGTGTGGTGGTGAGCGTGGTGATTGGTGGTGGTGATTGGTGGTGGTGAGGAGTGGTGAGGAGTGGTGAGGGTGGTGAGCGTGGTGAGCGTGGCGTCTCCTCACCGCCCGTTCTTCTCGTCTCCCCGGTATTCGCTCCCGGTGATCTCCATGCTTTCCCGTTTCCACGGCAACTGCGGACGCTACGGCGGCCGCGTGGGACGCGCGCGCGCAAAACGCGTTTGAAAAATCAGTTCACTCGTAAGCTTTTGATTTAAGCGTTAAAGAAAAGTCCAGTCGTAAAATAAACTAACAATACAATTTTGTATTTAATCAGGTAAGGCCCACGGGAGCTATGTAGCTCTTCTTCAACGTGACTTAGCATCCGGAAATGTAAGCAGACACAGTACAGGGACTCCTCTACTTACGAACGAGTTAGGTTCCAGAGGTCTGTCCATAAGTCGATTTGTTCAACTTTACCCCTGGTGATTCCAAAACACGGGGAATGGCTTTAATAGTTGTATTACCTCCTGTGAATGTAGATGCCACTGGTTCTTCACGTTCTGCAGATGTAAATGCCACTGGTTTTTCATGTTCTGCAGATGTAGATGCCACTGGTTCTTCACGTTCTGCAGATGTAGATGCCACTGGTTCTTCACGTTCTGCAGATGTAGATGCCACTGGTTCTTCACGTTCTGCAGATGTAGATGCCACTGGTTATTCACGTTCTGCAGATGTAAATGCCACTGGTTCTTCATGTTCTGCAGATGTAAATGCCACTGGTTCTTCACGTTCCGCAGATGTAGATGCCACTGGTTCTTCACGTTCTGCAGATGTAGATGCCACTGGTTCTTCATGTTTTGCAGATGTAGATGCCACTGGTTCTTCACGTTCTGCAAATGTAGATACCACTGGTTCTTCACGTTCTGTAGATGCAGATGCCACTGGTTCTTCACGTTCTGCAGATGTAAATTCCACTGGTTCTTCATGTTCTGCAGATGTGGATGCCACTGGTTCTTCACGTTCTGCAGATGTAGATACCACTGGTTCTTCACGTTCTGAAGATGTAGATACAACTGGTTCTTCACGTTCTGCAGATGTAAATGCCACTGGTTCTTCACGTTGTGCAGATGTAGATGCCACTGGTTCTTCATGTTTTGCAGATGTAGATGCCACTGGTTCTTCACGTTCTGCAAATGTAGATACCACTGGTTCTTCACGTTCTGTAGATGCAGATGCCGCTGGTTCTTCACGTTCTGCAGATGTAAATTCCACTGGTTCTTCATGTTCTGCAGATGTAGATGCCACTGGTTCTTCACGTTCTGCAGATGCAGATGCCACTGGTTCTTCACGTTCTGTAGATGTAGATACAACTGGTTCTTCACGTTCTGCAGATGTAGATACAACTGGTTCTTCACGTTCTGAAGATGTAAATGCCACTGGTTCTTCACGTTGTGCAGATGTAGATGCCACTGGTTCTTCATGTTCTGCAGATGTAGATGCCGTTGGTTCTTCACGTTCTGCAGATGTAGATACCACTGGTTCTTCACGTTCTGCAGATGTAGATGCCACTGGTTCATCACGTTCTGCAGATGTAGATGCCACTGGTTTATCACGTTCTGCAGATGCAGATGCCACTGGTTCTTCATGTTCTGCAGATGTAGATGCCACCACCGCCATCTATTGCGCGGCAGTTGAACCTACGACTCTCGGCCCGAACAGGCAACTTGACACATGGACAGGTGTGTTCGTATCTCTAAAAGTGTGTAAGTCGAGTGGTCGTAAATAGAGGCTCCCCTGTACTCTAAACGTGTTGATTCTAAATGTGGAGGGAAAAGCCGGAGGACCCGGAGAAAAATCCACGCAACCACGGGGAGAGAGACACCGCAAACTCGAAATATACAGGCATCGTCAGGGTCGGCATGAAACCTATAACAGGCGAGGTAGTTAACATCTCCTAACCACCGTGGCGATGTCAGAGTATAAGCAGTCCGAGCGGACTGCTGCTCACGTGATCACTGGGGGCATTGCTGCTCATATTTCATCTTGACAGCCCTGAGCCAGTGGTAAACATTCCACGTTCCCATGGTGAGGGGCGAGTCTACTCTATAGGACTACCCACTGTTGAAATCCCTACAAAGTGGTCTTGATTTGAACGTGTAGCAGTTACTACGCACAATTGGTGCATTAATAATGCATAGAAGCGTCTTGTGTAAACCAGGTGGCACGTGCCGAGTATTTTGTCAGGTCAGGGATTCATTTCCCAAGCCTCGATCACGACTCTGGGACGGTGGGGTGTGGCGGTGGTATTTTCTGGAGCTCAGCCACGGACAGCTTCGGCTGAAATGAAGCCCTCTCGTCTGCTGTTACGCGTGTGTTAGGTGTGATTTTAAAATTGGAGATATTTAGTTAATCGTTATTCCGGTTGTTAAGTGTAACTAAATGCCTTGCGTGTACATTGCGTGTAAACGTAATACAAATGTAGCCTATTTACTGCTCTATGCAATTACGGTACTCAAATAAATTAGCATAAAATCTGGCTTGTTAAAATATTAAAGCCCCCACCACACCCTCCTGTTAACGCCAAATACTGGAGGACATTTTGAGCAAAACGTCCGCACCCAGTTGATGGTACCGGTACTGTGCTGAACCGTATTGCAGGAAACTGCACAGGTTTGACAATAGCCCCCGTGCTGAGGAATATTAAATATAGGTACCTGGTTCTGATCTCCAGTTGGGAAAGGTGGGGACCCTAGAGAGAGTACACGGCGAGCGAAAGGTTGGGAAGGACTGCTCCCAGTAAAAAAAAAAAACATGCCTACGTTGAAATGTGGTTGGAACTGTTGGCCGAACGTTCCACGTTTCGCCTTAGCCCGGTTTAACCCAGTAACTTGGTGATTGTGCAGAGTCCTCTTTCTTTCCCCTGCGATGCCAAGAGTGTAAACAGTGGAGCTGACCCAGTGACAACCCCAAATTTCACTTCTCACACAAGGCAGTTCTCACTTATTTCAGACCCGTCCCACGTTTTTCCCAGCGTTCCCAGGCTCGCCGAGCCAGTAGGGATCGTCCCAGGGGCATTTCCACGGTTAGTTCAGCTCCTTTACAAAAACACGCCATCACAAACGGAAACCAACAACTCCCGCACTCTCTCCAGGCTCTCATAACACCAGTGTACAGTAATAGTACCTTGCAGCGTCGCAACATATCCGCGTGATATCATTGCAGCGCAGTGGTGTGCCGTGTGTCGTTTTTGTGCAAGACGGGAGTTTTCAGGAAAACAGACAACACGTGTGTTATCACTCTTTGGTTCTTTCGGTAAAGTCACGTAGATAGAAAATGAATAGATCACGACGATTCGATCGCAACACAAGCAACCGTCATCAGGTGAGACAAACACAGCAGGAGAAATAAATGTTATACCTACGTGACTTTACCGAAAGAACCAAAGAGTATGGATTCCTGCAGTCAGGGAAGCCTCAAATCACGTGTATTATTATTGTCAAGTAATCATGCACTTCCTGGGTCATTAAGTGTGGATGGAGATGGTCAATTGTTTTTTTTAAATATGACTTCGTTTATAGCCGGGCGGTGGTGGATATGTAACATGGCCTGTAATTTAGCACTGTTGGAAGCAGCAAGCATTGGTGGATCGCACACATGTTTTTAAACTCCCTTGTTTTTCAACGTCGAGGTTGCCATACCCTGGCCCGCCATGAGAAGGCAGTAACAGCAATTGGACGAGTCGCCATCTGTTTCCATCTGCATGGGGATAGAGTGTTTCCCCCTCACACGTGAGGGTTTTCCCCAGGTGCTCCAGTTTCCTCCCACACGTATAAACAAAACTCATCATCAATTGGCTGAAAACATATTTAAAAAAAAACCCCAATGCAAGACCCTCCTGAAAAAGAGCCATATGACTCAATGTGCCTTTCCTGGATAACCCCCCCCCCCAACTCTCCTCTGCATTGCTTGGGGAAAACCTCACGCAGCACTGAATTGACAAAGAGTTGTACATTGTTATTTATTATATAGTTTGCAACGGGCTTTACTGCCTGTATATGTGAGAAAATAGTGGACTCCACTCTCATCCCAGCGGAAGACATTGCATTCTTATAAAATGATTTGGTGATACTGCGTTGGCAGTGGTGCAAAGGGGCAAATGGCAAACACTCAACACATTTTTTTTAATAACACAGCCTTGAAAGAAAAAGTATGGTATATTAATAGGCGACGTTTCGGGCAATGGCTCTTCTTCATAACACACAGAGGCCAGAGAGGTCTGACCAGAGAAGCCTGGCATCTCTATATGCAATGAAGGGCCATTACACACATCATTGTCATCATCATCATTGCCATCTCCCTGGGGACAGTAATCATAGCGCTGTGGATTAACATCGCCTGTTGTATTAATAGATCACTGGTCTTTGCCATATGAATATGAACTTTCCAGCTCTGGCATTCGATTGCCCAACCCAATTTGAAAGCAATGCAATGTTATTTAGACGGTGTGTGTGTGAGCACAAGTCAATTACTGCAAAACACTGCCACATTGCGAAAGGCACAACGCAGAAGATCCCCGACTTTGATCTTCCACGAAGCACATGGTCCACCCCGAACCGCATGCCATCCACTGCACAAACCATGGCAGATGCTGATACCTGATGCACAAATGGAAACTTTAAAAAACTCTCCAGTGTGCGGCTGTTGGTCATCCAGAAGGAACCATAACGACGTTATAATGACGCAATGCCCGATCCATAAATACGAGGGAGACATCAGAGCGATACGCGCCGCCGCTCCTCACGCGCTTGCCTGTAAATGTCGTGGATTTAGCCTCCAACACACAAGCGGTGTGTGCTGAACAAGTAACGAATTGGCACGTTTTGTTTACGTGGCAAACCTTTACTAATTGGCCGTGTCGGGTGGTGGCGGGTTTAACGACACATTTATATTTGACCCGATCTAACCCAACAAAAAATCTATTTTTTGGTGGTTGTCCGGCTTGACCGCATGAATGTGAAATTGTGAGCTGCCTGCTCTGGCATATCCCATCAGCCGTACGAAACAAGACTGCCACCTGCTGGCACGGTGCACATTTCTAGATTTGAAGCTTTCGTGACTGCAAGGATCCATACTCTTTGGTTCTATTCGGTAAAGTCACGTAGGTAAAAAAATATAAAACAACAAAAAAATCACGACGTTTCGGCCACAAC